TTTCGTTGAACAACTGTCAGAATTTTTGGAACGAAGTTCCTTACGACGTACGATGCGGAGGGGTACCCTAACCGGGAAAAAACGTCCGTAACGTAAGATTTTATTAATAATGCACACAGTGTAAGACTTAACTTTGTACTAACGTACAAAAAACAAGATATTTTTTATCATTCATTGACCACGATCTCAGCGCGTTCGCTTGCGAATACACTAACTCCTATGCAAACAACCGAGAAGTGTACCACAATAAGTTGGCACGTTACCGAATGACCGTGGGTTGTTGCGAAACCTCCAGTTTTATTTACTTTATACCTCGAATAGAACTTTAAATTTATATTTTTATAATACGGAACTTCGTTCCTATCCGGTGTCCCACGACACCACACATTTTTTTTTTGTTCGGAAGTGTATTGACAAGATTGAAATTTTAGTACAATTTCATCTATTCAAATATGGAATAAAAATATTAAAACTTAAAAGGTCTCTCTTGTGTCTTTCAGCCTAAAGACCTCCACTGCTTGGAAATAGATCTCGCCAAGCCTCACTACACACACAGATTAAAGGAATTAAGTGACTTAAAAAATGTTTATCTTATATACTTATGTAATTTTATTAATTTGTTCCACTTTTTTTGGTAAAGAATTATCTAATATTTCACAAACTTAGTCTAAATTTTCCGTTCCCTTTTGAAAACGTTAAACATGAAAATGTAGCAAAAGACAAATCAGTAGAATTGTGGACTCCGGTTACGTAATATCCGCCGTGTCATAGCTTCACAGCTGTTGCGATCTACTTCCGTCCACAACAAGGATTCGATAATGACAATATGGATGTGGTATCGTATACAAAAAAATCTAATTATTCTAAAATAAGCACAGATCTCGTGTCGACGAACGAATTCTACAGTAAAAGATTGATTCCAATAGTATAAATTCAAAACTCAAAATTTAACCGAAACAGCAGTATTACAGTACAATGGAGACAAGAACTTTTTGTCTCAAATTGGGTGAACGAATTCTACAGTAAAATATTGATTCCGATAGTAAATATTCAACACTCAAAATTTAACCGAAACATCAGCATTACATTAAATACAATGGAGATCAGAACTTTTTGTTGCAAACTGGGTGGCGACATTTACATTATTATATCTATTTGCACCGGTATCGAAATTATCAAGAGGACCGTGAACTAATCTGCCTGTCAAAAATAGAAAGATGCACATCTAAGTTTAGCTTAAAGCGTAATTTTGACATGTCCACAATCTTTCATGACTCCGCGTGCACTGATCCGTCCTGAACAGGGAAGGTGCGCACGAATTCGCTAGAAATCGAACTGCGGTGAAACTTGGTAAGTTGTGTTTGTATCCGCTCGGACGTTAACTAAAGAGACCTCCAGTTGTCGATAGTTACATCAGGAACTCTTTTATCAAGGGCTGTGCGTTAAGAAATTTAATGTACCTATTCTTCTTTAAATAGTAAAGTACCATAGAACATTCCTTTTTCTCTACAAAACCTTTACCCTATAAGTATGTAACCGGTTATCGAGCTATTTGATACAATTTAAACTAAATTCCCAATGCTTCTACATCACCCTGGTGTGGCAGAAATTTCTTGCTATTTTCCTATCCTAACTGCTCTCCTTAAATTATTTTTCTTCTTCATCGTTTCTTCATTACTGAGGGTCGTGACCACCTTGGTCCAGTTTTTGCACCAGCTTCCTCCAATGTTGCCTGCATTCGGCCTGCTTAATGGCGCCCAGGACGCTGGTGTTTGTGGCCTCCTTGAGGCCGTCCACCTGGTTGGCAATCTTCCTCGACCTCTCTTTCATATTTATTCATGATATAAGCACACACCTTATTGTAAACAAACACACAGCAATCAAACCGTTTTGTAAATAGTAACCACTTACATTGATGACACATAGCACAAGATGATTTCACAATCAAACGTAGCGTCATAAAATAAAACTTCCCCAAACAATTGGGTGCTTAAAACATACAGCTCGTTTCCTTCCCTGGGATTGATTCATTGATATTTATGAACTAGATGGGCAATACAGTTTCAAGTACTATTGTCATTAAATATGACACCTAAATACTGGTGGTGGGACGTCTTGTGAGTCCGCACGGGTAGGTACCACCACCCTGCCTATTTCTGCCATGAAGCAGTAATGCGTTTCGGTTTGAAGGCTTTTGCAGCCACTGTACTGTAAAAACTGAGACCTTACAACTCATATCTCAAGGTGGGTGGCGATATTTACGTTGTAGATGTCTATGGGCTCCGATAACCACTTAACATCAGGTGGGTCGTGATCTCGTTCACGCACCTAAGCGATAAAAATAATAATAAATCCTACCTACAATCGTATTATCTCGTTAGGCTTTCAATCCTCCTCCTCCTTCAGTCGATCGCTCATTGCTGAGCATCGTGATGCGCCCGTCTGTGACATTTTTTTGTATTTTATATCCACGTATGTCGATCAGTGGCACAGTGAAGTGCGTGGCTCAGTCTCATGTCCAGATACTCGGACACTTGGTCACTCCATCTTTTTCGGCTCCGACCTCTGGATCGTCTTTCATCCACTTTACCCGTCACTATGAATCTCTCCAGGTTGTCAGAGGGTTTTAGGCTATAGCCAGATATAGGCATTTGGTGGATAACCTCTGGTCAACTTTTAACTCCGTTTAAAGCCGTCCAAGGGATGCGCAACATGCGCCGCCAGCACCACATTTCAAACGCGTCTCTGCGTCGCCTGTCAGACTCTTTCAAGATCCAGGTCTCAGCCCCATACAAAAAGATTAAGAAAACGAGCGTCTCAATAATTTGCACTTTCAATACCCTGTTAATAAATAAATAAATAAATTAAATTCATACAAAAATCGAAATCGTTCAAAGGACGCTAACAAAACCTTTAAAATCCAACAAGAAGCCAACACGGATTTCAGCTTCGTAAAAATTAAAATACGCTTCGTCTCTTCCTTCACAAAGAGTTCCTACTTTAGACGTCATATTTTTAATCTTCTCACCGAGCCGAGCAGACGTAGTAAGCTTTAACGTCTTATCCACACGTTTCGGCGAAAAAGTTGCTTTTTATTTTATAACTGTAGACGTGTCTGGTGTTAATGTCGACGCTTGAAAGGCAATCGTGACTAAGCGACAATAACTGCTCTGTACATAAATGATAGGCAATAACCATATTCGATGCGCTAAAAAGTATATTTCTAGGTCTATTAAATTAATTTTAATCCTACAGCTAGATTCGTTAAAATAGAATTGTTGTTGAAATGTATTTGTGTGTGTATATTTATAATATTATGTATGAGTGTAATTCACGTAAGAGTTTAAATTTCAAGGATCCTAAGTGTTAGAACAATTGTTTTCATTTTAATATTTAACTTTTTTTATTGCTTAGATGGGTAGAAGAGCTCGCAGCCCACCTGGTTTTAAGTGGTTACTGGAGCCCATAGACATTTACAACGTAAATACACCAGCCACCTTGAGATACAAGTTCTAAGGTCTCAAGTATAGTTACAACGGCTGCCCCAGCCTTCAAACCGAAACGCATTACTGCTTCACGGCAGAAATAGGTGGGTGGTGGTACCTACCCGCGCGGATTCACAAGAGGTCCTACCACCAGTAATTACGCAAATTATAATTTTGCGGGTAGATTTTTGTCGATATTGAATCAAAATATTTTCTTGGGTGAACATAATTTGTGATTGAAAGAAGTTTTATTGTGTCTGCAGAGTTATAATAAATTTAAAAAAAAAGTTGCTCCAAAGATGCCGACTGTAAACCGAGCATTAAGTTTTAATACTTTCTTTAGCTTTACGGCGCTACGTCACTACAGTCTAACTGAATCATGTTCTCCGCGAAAGTTCAGTTGTTAACGCAACCATTGAAATAAAATTTTATCCATCCCAACAAACCCGTGTTGTTTGTAACTTCACTATCACTTGTAACTCCTGCGATGTTTTCTTTGAAAAGATTTAACGCAAAGCAATTGTCTACGCGAGACACTGTGGCCTTATTGTTTCTTTAATAAAACCAATTGCATTCTTGCTACTTCCTTTAATTATACAATGGTTTGGTTGTGATTGTTCGTCGATGAATCTTGGAATGTGACCTTTCTCGAAAAAAGGAAGGTCTTGTATCAATAATGATTATTGGGAGGTATCTTCAGACTGTTGTTGAATGCTGTCAGCGCGCGGTGCCGGTAGTAGTAAATGTTTTGGCTAGCTTGCTGTGCTAAACGCGTCAGGCGCCGCGACAGCAATAAATGTAGTTCATAGTTATAACAGGTTTCTTGGCCTTTCAAACAGTATGTACTTTTTTATTCAAAACTCCGAAACTATTATAACTCGACTGGCTCGATGGTTTAGTGGTTAGCGCTCTTGACTGCTGCGCTGAGGGTCGCGGGTTCGGTTCCCATGTCGGGCAAACATTCGTGTGATGAACAGGTTTGTGTGCTCTTTGTCTCGGTGTTTATTATATATGTCTTTATGTATGTATTTAAACGTATATAAGTATGTACGTCAGCCTGTGTTATGTTGCCAATTAGGCCAAATTAAGATTATCCCAAATTAGCCGAAATTTGGGGCGTGCGCGTGATTTGTTGCCAATTTTTTATTTAAGTAAATTTTAGTGAATTTGGTCATAAATTTTAACTGTAAAAATTGTTTTTTCTAGACAATTACATTCTTAATACAATGTGCAATAAACTTCGTATAATAATGACTTCGTAATATAATATAATCGAGAAGCAATGAAGGGTTTCGGTCAGAATTCTCTTTTAATAAATGCAAAGAGTATATGAGAAGCCACTACAACTTCGATCAACTATGACCTCATGGTGGCCGGGAATATCAACGTCACAGTTTTATGGATAGACCCTGAGTTCTATAATTATTGTCCCTGTACAGAAAAGCAAATGAAACGCCACTAAGTTAATTTTTTTATATTTTTGAATCGCTCTTAAATTTCATTAAATTTTTTCAGGGATCTATAAAGGAAATAAAAATATATCCAGACTCAAACGAAGAAACCATAAAAAATATTTGCAACGAGGTAAGATAACTCATATTATAGTTTATGTTAAAGACGATCGTGTAAGTCCTTGTGAAATAGCAAAAAGGAAACCTAATGAGCTGTGAAGATGAAAATAATCGTAAATTGTAAGTCTTCTACAAAACAAAGGTACACCATGATTGTGTTTGTTACACCATTTTTTTCTGCCTATGCTGATAGCCTTGAGAGGCTATTATTTCAAACCGGGCGTGTTGCTAACACTGCCCCTAGCATGAGCAGTGCTTCGCAGGATCTACCACCGAATCAGAAACGCAACCCACTGAGAAGATCCGGCGAGAAACTCAGTGGGATGTGTCTATGGGTTAATTTACTCATCGATCCCTTCATCGCAAGCAACGGGTTCGGCAAGGATGGTGACCAGTGCTTGAGATATCTAAAAGCACCGTTAATGGATCGGGAGGATCCGTAATGACGTATTTAGAGCAATTACATAGGATACACAAATACCAATATTAAAACACATTCACGACGCTTGAGCTCGTCTTAGTATTGAAGGAATAGATCCTAGACCCATTATTTCTTTGCGTCAAGTCAAACACGAATTAAATGAGCCATGAATGAAAGCCATTAAATTTATTAGAGATCGACTTTTCTAAGGTGGCATTTGGATAAATCTATCTACGTGGCGGCAATAGATAGTAAAAAAGGAATACTAGAAATGTCCACTGCTTATGCAACGGGGAATGAAGAAATGGCTAGTAAATCTGATTCTGCGTTAATGAAAATTATAGTTAGATTCAGTCAAACATCGCTTTAGGTCATTCTAGCTAAGAGAAGCTCAGCAATCGATTCCAAGGCTTTGAAGTTTTTGATAGCAACGAGTGATTCGAAAAACCGTGAAAAACACTGTCAAAATATTCACCAAATCAACAGGTTGATACAATTAGTTTGTTTTCATAGCGGTTTTTACCAAACGCGTATGAATAGGCATGAATAAAATCAATACAATCAAATTTAAAAACTTTGTATTGAAAACGAATTTTAATGTACCTACCAAAAATTTTAAATTGTCTACTAGCTTTGGGACTGCTATCTGCTTAGTTAGACCCTGATTACGGAACAAATTTTTGTGTTAATGACCAGAATCCATAATATGTTTGGGATTCCATAATTGACAAACTACAACTCTAAAATTCACATTTTTTTTTCTTTCTAATTCTTTTAATATTTTACAGGATTTCAAATTACCGAGTATAGTTAGTATGATTGCATTATTAAAAGCACATTATGCTTCAGCAACACCTCTCTGTGTCATTGTTCTAACATTTGGTCATGCAAATTACAATTTTATTTTTAATCTACAACAAAAAGTATTAAAAAAATGGTCTTTGGTCATAATTATCATGTGATTTATAACGCTTTTGTTTCTCAACCCCAGAAGTAAATTCGTCATAATCTCAATAATATTAACTCGTATCAAATACACAATTCTGACTCTCTCAAAAATAGTTTTTGGAAACAACGTTTAATAATTTACTATTTGGATACTGTGTTTTATCTTCTATTCCATAAAATACCAGTGTATCGTCTTGTTCGTCAACTAATTGATTTTATAAATGAAATCAGTTTTAGACATTTTGATAAAACAAAAACAAAGTTAAATCCCGAATCATCTAAACAACAATAATTACAGTAAAATAATGTAACTTTCTAATATTATAATGAAAGTTATTGTTTTCCCTGGAATTGAATGAGTTATTCTCGTATAAAATGGCAGCTAAGGTATTTAAAGATTAAATAAAGTTTGCTTTAACATTCCAAGTTGTGTACAAAGACTATTTTTGTCATGCAACATATTACTTAAACAGTATTCACACAGTGAATTATTTAGTGATAATTGAAAGAAATACATGTGCTAAGCTTGTAAAATTGTGGTACTCACTTATGTTTTTTAAAACGCAATTTTTAGTGGATTATGAAATACCGTGAACTGTATTGACAGGTCTACACTGTAGTAGAAAGGTACAATTTCACCTTCCAAATATGCAAAAAAGACAATTTAAAATTATTTACGTTCAACGCATGGGAAATATTTAACAAAAATTTCGAATAAATTTTTGATTGACGCATGGAATATTCTTTTTATTTTACTGACGAATGAATACCAGTCTCGCTGCGTTGTAAATATCGGCAAAATTAATGAAAAAGAATGGGCCGTTTATTAATATTTCGTGTGCCACCATGGAGCGCTGTTTAGTAAGTCGTTCCTGAAGTGCTGATTTTAGATGAGAAGATGCTACAATATACTCCGATTCCAAACTAGCATTTACTGACGGTAGAGCATATTGTAATCCCACAAACAATAACCAAAATACTCCGATTACAAACCAGCATTTACTGACGGTAGGACATATTGTAATCCCGCACGGATAGGTCCCAACATCCTGTCTATTTTTGCCACAAAACAGTCATACATACCATAGCCCATCTGGTTGTAAATACCGACTTTCAAACATCAGTGTGGGGTTCCGAGATGCTTTGCCGGTACTTATGCAATGTAAATATTAAACAGCTTTCAATTGACCTTTCCAAAACTGCGCTTTACTTACGACATACCAAGCTTTTTACTTTGTTAACACGGGTCCATAATTTGAAAGCATACCTAAAAATATTCAACATCACATTATAATATGAATAGTATATAAATAGATTTAGAAATAGAATCTATTTGTATATTTTCAATATTATAATCTACAAGTCGTATTGAATTTGACAATTGTCTACTTCTTTCTTTACGAACTATTATTAATATTTGTAAGTTTTTCAAATTATTCAGTGCTATTCTAGAAGTTTGTCTTCGACCCTTCCAAAGAAGTATGACAACTGAGCAAATGTCTATTAATTTTAACTCAAACATCATTAACTCGAATAACACGAGTAACTCACTAAATCTGTTTGAAATCTGTATAAATAAAACGTTCAAAGATATAAAATTCTATAAAATGTATTAATTCTTTTTATAAATTTAATAACAACCTTCACGTAATTTCCGCTGCCATGCAAATATGTGACTTCAGCTGATTCTAAGTAACTTAGCAAGCAAAAGTAGAGTCATGTAGTATAACTTTTCAACATAGATACTCTTAACAAAGATAACTAGTCTAACAATTATAATCGCAACATACAGATTTCCAACAGTTTCGATTTTATCTTAACAAATTTATTTTATTAAAAAAAATATTTTTGTAGTTTAATGAAGAAAACGAAGAATCAACCGACAATGTAGAAGAACCTCAATATATTAAAAACCGTAAGTTATCACAGATAATCGTTAACAACTAAGCTCTGTTTGTTAAGAAAATTTCAAGACTTTCGAAATATTATTGTTGGCACATATTAAGAGTGTTCAATAGAAAGCGATAATGAGTATGACACTATAATTTTTTATTAAATGTTATTTTATTTTTCGACGCATTCATTTTATGTTACGTATTAAATGTTATCTTATTATATTTTTCGCCAACCTTCCAAATCTATATACTTTGTGTATATATTTTTTTTGTTGTTGCTTAGATGTGTGGACGAGCTCACAGCCCACCTGGTGTTAAGTGGTTACTGGAGCCCATAGACATCTACAACGTAAAACGCGTTAAATATCTTCGGAATGTAGGTGACGGTCTCCTAGAAGTTATGGACTATTTTATCGTTACCGGATTATAATGGTAAAGCCATGCATCAAAATCTTGTTGTCCAATTCAAATTGAAGGTTTCGTTTTTGTTCTCTCAAAAATGTAGGCAGCTTATATCCTACAAGCGGCCCGCTCCGGCTCCGCTCGGATCTTTAACAAAATTTTCAACAATATTTAACGTTGTTTTATTTTTTTTAAATAAAATAACACTTATTGCGGCATAACTATAATAGTTAGACATATTATGCTCTCGCGACACTTTTTGTAAATAATAACGTGTTCTACAAAGTCGTAGTACATTATTTTATTCTATCATCCACAGTTTTCACAGGGCACGCGATGTAAAGAATCTTTTAGGTAATTTTTTTACACCTTAGGTTACATTATTGGAGTTTAGTATTGTCTATGTTGTTCGGGAATAATGTAGCTTCCAAACAGTGAAAGAATTTTTCAAATCTGTTCAGTAGTTTCGGAGCCTATTCAAAACAAAAATTATTATGGCGTATCTTTCTTCATATTACAGCGGAGAAAGGTGAGAAAGGTGACAAAGGTGAGAAGGGTGAAAAAGGACAAAAAGGACACCAAGGTCTCAAAGTGAGTTCAAATCTAATAATAATTTCACATCAATTATTCATGGTTTCATGGTTGATGTATTGCACAACTATTTTTAGAATTCTAAACAAATTCACACGAAAAAAACCTAACTAAGGTAATAAAAAGGTAAAGGTTCTTGATTTTTCCCATCAGTCAATCGGTTGTTCGAGTTGAGAGATCCTATTTTTAATAATGTTTTCAAAATATATGTACAAATACGAATTATTTTTTATGCCCTTAATATTGTTACTGGAATTAATATATTTGTATCCTCCATTAGTGACAGTTTGATTGAATGTACTTTATTTCAGGGAGAGCCTGGAAATTCCGTCATCGGTCCAGAAGGATCACAAGGACCTGTTGGGCCGCTGGGACCCCCTGGCCCCGTAGGAAAGCGAGGACCGAAAGGGGTTCGTAGACACTATATTACTGATAGAACAGATAATATAATTTATAAGTCGTCGTGGCCCAAAGGATATCACGCCTGGTGTGGTCGTCAAGCGATACAACAGTTTCTTTTTGTTTTTTTTTTTCTACTTTATCATTGGAAGGTTAAGGAGCTATTCCAACTTAATGCGGATCGGTAGGAAAGCTCACGGACTCAACCTGAATTGCTAACACTAGCCCTAACAAGAGCAGTGCTTCCTGTATCTACTACTGGATCGGTTTCGCGACCCACTGAGAAGATCCGGCGAGAAACTCAGTGAGCGCAACAGTGTTCGAATCTCGTGGGCAGGTACCAATTATTCTAATGAAGTACATACATACTTCAACAACGTGAATCGTGAATATTTGTTCACGATTCGACGGTGAAGGAATAACATCGTGTAATAAAAATTAAACACGCAAATTTATAATTTGAGTAATAACTGGTGGTAAGGTTTCTTGTGAATCCGCACGAGTAGGTACAACAACCCTGTCTATTTCTGCTGTGAAGGGGTATTACGTTTCGGTTTAAAGAGTGGGGCAGCCGTTGTAGTGTAAAACTGAGACCTTAGAAATCATGTCCCGAAGTGGGTGGCCGCATTTACCTTCTATATGCCTATGGGGTCCGGTAATTATTTAAAACCAGGTCGGCCCTGATTTCGGCCGTCTTTTCGTATGTTATTGGGTTTTTTTAGTAGTTAGTTATATTAAATACCTACATAGTTAATAAAGTTCGATCTTTATCGAATCGAAAAAATCAACCCTTTGGCTAATTTCTCATCAACTTAAACTAGCCAAAAATAAATAGCTACATATCTTATCCATAAGTATATATATAAATTAATATTTTTTTTTATGAATAGATAGTTCTAAAAGATATAAATACAAAACTGAATACAATAGCCTCTCAAGGCTATCAGCATCGATAGAAAAAAAACAAGCAATTAACGCATAGTTTGGCAACAATTTGTACATTTTCAGGAGTGTGAGTGCTCGCCTAATTTGGTATCGACTCTTTTGGAAACAATGCCTGAAATGAGAGGACCTCCCGGTGAAGCTGGTCCTACGGGCGAGCCTGGACTTCCTGGTCTTCATGTAAGCTCATTTCTATACATTATACTCATTTCTATACAATATACTGTCATCGTCTTCATATTTGTTACCAATTCAGGCATATTAAATACATTACATGATATTTCTGAAAAAAGGATTTTGTTTCATGAATTTTCACTAAATTATCTAAATTTCAAAGGTAAACTTATTGCTGAAAAGTTTCAACACAAAGTTAATCGCTAAACGAAAACATAAAAAAACTACTGACAAACCTACAATATAATAACTAAATGAAATAGAAAGAAAGAGGAATATGTTCTTAGTTTGAGTTTTTGTATCTTCTTAAGTTCTTTGAAATAATCCTCGCTTAGGGGGAGAAGGGCCCTGAAGGTCCTGCGGGGAAACCTGGCCTAGACGGCAGAGTAGGGGAGCCAGGTCACGATGGTGTACCTGGACGAGACGGAAAGCCTGGGGAGTCAGGACCACCAGGAAAAGACGGAGCTCCCGGTCGAGATGGAGAACCTGGTCTAAGAGGCCCACCTGGCCCACCCGGCCCACCCGGTCCTGGATTCATGGTAAGCTATGATCATTTTATATTGTTCTCATCAAATTCTCAGTCAAAAAGTATTCCGTATCAATCGTGAGTTTTACTAACACTCTAGTTGCCTATTTACGTCAGTAATGTATATTAAATACCCATTTGCGTTCTTAAGTACATACATGAGAAGTTAAGCTTCTCTCGCATAATTAAATTATTTACCAACTCAACATTCACATATTCATATAAATAAATACACACGAGATATAAACTATCATAAATAATACATAAATTTAGCAAAATATCTTGATAACGCAGTCTTTACAAGGTAGCACATTGTGGAACACAATTTTGTTTCATTGTAAATATCGGCATGTACATTTTCATCATACGACAAAAAAACACTTGTTCTGTATTCATATAGTCGAACGCCAAAAAAATACATATAAAAAAGGTAATTGACATTTTAAAAATGCTAATCACACACACATTGAACATTACGACATGTAACAGGAAACAGAGGAAGAAAAGAAGGCTCGACAAATTCGGATACCTGGGCCTAAAGGTGAGCAAGGCTCACCTGGCTTACCAGGGTATCCCGGGCCAAAAGGTGAAACCGGATCAAAAGGTGACAAAGGAGAAATTGGACAACAAGGTGCAAAAGGAGAAGAAGTTAGTCACGTTTTATTAATAGCAGTAAACAATAAGGGTTTTTTCACCGTAAACCAAAAACATTCGTATTATTAAAGATTAACAATAATAATAGCCTTCAGTTTTTGAAGAATCAAACCATAAAACGCTCTCTGATATAACTAATCTATAACCTACAATTATATAGATGGCTCCGTCACATGTAGCTAATGTCCCAAAACATTTATGGTACTATGACTATTTGAGGATGCATAATCACTCTTTAGCAAAAACAAGCTACCGTTGCCAATCTGAATCAACATCTTCAGTTAATTTTTTTACTGTAACCTCCAAAGATATGGATTTGAATTTAACTATTGGATTATTGCTGTTACTTTCTCATCAGCTTATCGACCTGGTAAATTAGTACGCGAGTAAATTAGTAGGAAATGTAGTGTGAATACTATTGTTTAAAAATACTTGAACATCATGTCTATAATTATCTTATTGACTATGCAAGTAAACATAATTATTCTTATACGTACATATAAATAAAATTGGATTGTCTGTTTGTAATATTGAAATAACCGCTTTTTACTAAATGCATATGAATATATAATATATACGGTACTAACAACAAAATAACATTTTTTACAGTTTTTGTCAGTCTGTCTGTTAGTCTATCTGTCTGTTTGTTCCGGCTAACCTCTGGAACGCCTGGACCAATTTTGACGAGACTTTCATTGATAGATAGCTAATAATATAAGGAGTAACTTAGGCTTCTTTTTTAAACTGGCTTCGCCCCGCGACGTCACCCGCGGTACAATAATAACCGTGTCGAACACAGGGTCACCCCGCGAATTACCGTGGTTGCCCCCGAGCCCCTAAAATAAATCGCCGCGTCGCCCGCCAAAACCGCCTCCGAGCTTCCGGCCCAGACATCAAAGCCTCGGCACCCTCTGCGTCGCAGGCTAAGCCAGCGTTCGTTCCGGCGGCGGTGCCCAGTGTCTCGACCTGGGCGAAACCGCTGCCGTACACGAACACGGCTACAACTCCCTCCTCCGCGATTCGTCCCGCCCCCGCGACTCGTCCCTCTCCCGCGACTCGTCCCTCTCCCGCGACTTGCCCTCCGACCGCGTCCGACAATCTCGCTTTAGCGATCGACTTCTTTCAGTCGATCAACTTTGAGCGCGTTAACGCTTTAGGCGACGCCATTCGCGCTGCCTCCACTGCACAACACTTTATCGCCGTTGTGCAGGAATACGCCGACGTATACGCGTCATTAAATACGTACGNAGGTACACCTTATGCTGTGATAAATAAATAAAAAATAGAATACACACGGAAACGCAATTAATATATGCTTTTCATTTAATATTAGATTAACAGTAAAAAACAGTTTATCATTGACGGCATTATCGGTTAACATTGCTTTTAAATTTATAATCATGCTTGTGAAATTATTCAAAACCCGTTCAATTTCATTTTGCAATTGGTTTTCTAATGCATTTTTTAATACAAGCTTGTTAGTCGTCTCTCAATCCATTAAAAATTGAAGGGCCATATTTAAAAAAAAATCATAACAATCTCGGAACTTCCTTTAGGGTATCATGGGTCAAATGGGTGAAAAAGGAAAAAAGGGTGATAAAGGTGAAGCAGGAGTAGATGGTAGACCTGGTATGCATGGAAACCACGGAGTAGACGGGAGAACAGGTAAGTTGATTTTATTAACCCAGTCGTTTTTTGCTGATTCTCTTGTAACCCATTTGTTCAACAAATCTTCATTGAATGGTGTTTTATCACATTTGTCATAAGAAAATTTGTACTCGCATGTTGAATTGTATTTTTTGTATGCCTTTGTAGGCAGACGAGCATACGGCTCACCTGATGGTAAGTGGTTACCGTCGCTCATAAACGTCAGCAATGCCAGGGGCAGAGCTAAGCCGCTGCGTACCATTATTTTTTTACGTGTCTACAATTACAGTTTATAGAAAATGCAAGTTAAAATTCACGCATGTGTTGTTTTATGAACTTTTATTTCACCTATTTTGATCGTTTTATCTTCTATTATAGGTGATAAAGGTGATAAAGGAGCACCAGGGCTGGCAGGACTTCCAGCAAGCTTGGCTTCAATTTTGGACGAAGAAATGGACGAATCGACAAGTAAGTATTTAAAGGTCTTATATCTTGCGATTTCGAATTATATTATGATATATTAAAGCGTTTTGTGGCCGACCTGGACAAAAGAAGAAAAGGCCAACCAAGAAGCAGATGGATCGACGAAATAATAGCAACAACAGGAAAAGAATGGAGAAACAAAGCCAAGAATAGGGAAGAGTGTAGTAAGTTGGAGGAGGCCTATACCCGAAGTGGGGTTCCAATAACATAAGTTTTATATTTGTAATTTTTATTTTATAAGGTTTTTTCTTTTTTTGGAAATAAAATGGGCTTATTATTATTATTACATTATAGCATATTTATTGTTATGTCGAAACGTGGGCCAAAATTGGAATAGAAGCATCCTTGTTGCTTTTCCTTCAATAGTTTTTTCTGGGTTTCGTTAATTGCTTAGTAATTTACTCGGAATGGCTTGAAAGTAATGAATGTAGTATCAGCAGAATTGTCGTTTCTTACAGCGCTATTTTCTTCAATTAATTAAAAATGAAGTAACGCACTTTGTCAATGCCTCAAGAAAGCGGAAAGGGCGACGACTTTTTGCATGCCATTGCCTCTTGACAAGCCACTGCCTCTTGACAAAATACCTATGAACAATAATTTTGCCTGAGTTATCAAAAAGAACTTTATTTCATTTACATTAGAGTGATTCTTTAAAATTATTGTAGCTTCAATTCTCTTATCTTTATGGCTGCTGGAATAACCAATGTCCCATATTTGCAGTCACCAATTTCAACTACACAAATGGTAAAGCTGTACTTTATTTCGGGCACTAATATTTAATGACTAATTTAGATGATAAAATTATTTCCCTAGGGACATTATTTAAAATAAAACCTCAATAAAAGAGTAAGTAAGTGTAAGATTAATGAGCATCATAATTATTTTTAGAGATGAACATAAACACCACGCAAGAGCTGAATGCGAAAAGTTTAAACATAATTTAATCTTTATATTCATTCGAGACACGTTATAAAATCACATTGTTTGTAAAACATTTTTGATTTCAGTTCTTAAAGTACGTATAATAAAATTCAATGTGAAATATGGCATTTTAGTCACGTAGAGGCAATAAGCTAAGTAGATTGCGCCCTCAACATTTTTTCGTTACTATTGGCTGTATGGGCTTTGATCTTGATCCCCGGCTTGAGAGCATTGTCCTTCGGGACTGGTCAAGGCATTATTTGCTTTATCTTGTTAGAAGAGATTTTGTGAATACTTCAGTGCAAAAATGTTGTTTGATTCCCTTATGTTTCGTTCTTCGAAATATTATTTTATATCAAAGGGATTTAGGAGAAATAAGTAATTTTCTGTGTTTAATACATTCTGAGATTACTAAAACATGATTAATAAATTAACAAATGGATTCTGTTAATCTAAACATGACGAGCTATTTGAAGACTATAAAACTATCAAATAATTAATTTATTCACTGCAACAATTGCTACAAAAGAATGAACTATACAATATTCGCCACCACAAAAATACAAAACAATCATTTCAATACATAAATAAACAATAAGTATGTGATAAATTAATATAATATATTGATATACAGCGGTGACCTTCCTAAATGTAATCCTTGGATTACCTTAAAACAGTTATCCAATTTTCACACTTTTAAAATTTCACGCCAGTTTAAAATATAGTGACTGTCGATATTTGCAAATAGCATGCAGCACGGCGATTCCCAGGCTTTTAGTGTATCGATAGAATTATAAAAATAAAATTATAAACAAAAATATGCTACTTAATTGGTTTAGATAAAGCGACAGACGGTTTATTTTTGAATGCACTAGATCAACTGTTGATTAATGGAATTGAGAAGCATGAAAATTAATAATCAACCTTCACACGTGGGGCCAAGGCCTTGACTGCCTTAGCCGTAGAAGTAGGATGGTGTTTGCCCGTGAGAAATCGAATACGCTTGACCACTAAATAAATTTAATGAAACAAGATTAATAAGTTCTTGTTTTTAGAAGCGGCAATCATTGAAAAATTCAGAGGGTTCAAAGGGGAACACGGCGACAAGGGTGATAAGGTGAGATCTAATGTCTAGCATTTTTTTATTTACAGCCTCAAATGTATTCATATTTCATATTCGTAATGGGAATTTTAAGAAAAATCAGTTATCGAAAAAGTGGCAAGGGCCACTAGGGCTATTATAATTGCCATGGAAAGATATAAGAAATTCATTGGAAATACCTGGATGCGGTTGAGGTCGATTGACATGGATACTAATTGTCAATTGTCTTACATACCTCGGTTACCGGTAGGTAGTACGGTGTATTGTAAGGCCAGATAAATATTTCACACCATCCTGCCAATTTTTTGGCGAAGAAGAGGCGCATTCTATTTTAAAGAGTAGGACAAGCACTGTACAGTAGAATTGAGACTTCGATCTTGTGACTCCAGATGAATGGTGCCATTTATGTTGTGATGTATATAGTCTCCTGTTAACAATTAACATACAATGGGTGGTGAGTTCATTCACGGTGCGTTTAGGTACCTCACGTACCGGTCACCGTTCTCGTCGAACCCGTCGCTTGCGACGAAGTGTTCTGTGAAGTAAACTAATACCCATAGACACAGCCCACTGAGTTTCTCGACGGATCTTCTCAGTGGGTCGCGTTTCCAATCCGATGGTAGATTCTGCAAAGCACTGCTCTTGCTAGGGCCAGTATTAGGAACGCGCCCAAGTTAGAGCCCCGAGAGCTCACCTACTCGCTTGATTACGCTGGCAAAGCCTCTCAAGGCTACCAGCTAAGTAGGAAAAAAACAGACGCAGTAAAATTGTCTAAAATATAAAGCACACTGAGAAGTGCTAATCACTTATTCCTCGACCAATATTAATAGATATTCTAAAACTCAAGGGCAGCAAAGGTGATCAAGGGAATACTGGTCTAGCAGGGGAACCCGGTAAAGATGGTAGAACTGGAAACACGGGGCCTCGAGGACCTACAGGTCTCCGAGGAAAACAAGGTCCTATGGGCCCTAGAGGATACAAAGGCGCAAGAGGTGCACCAGGACCAGTTGGAAAAGTACCAGCTTCAGAAATAGCTTTACTAAAGGTTGGTGATATAAGATATTAATTTATTTGACACTAGTTTGTATATTTACAAACTTTACCGATTTCATCTAAATAAAATTCCATATATCCAATATAGCTCGCAGAGTTAGTAAGCTGAAGTGGCAGTGGACTGGTCACATATGTCGCAGAACCGATAACCGTTGGGGTAGACATGTTCTGGAGTAGAGACCGCGAACCGGCAATCGTAGTTTAGGACGCCCTCCTGCTAGACGGAGCAACGACCTGCGCAAGGCAGCTGGCAATGACTGGATGCGTAGAACTGAAGATTGGGTTCAGTCGCGAGCTTTGGGGGAGGCCTATGTCCAGCAGTGAACTGCTGCAGGCTGATCATGAATATCCAAGTATATACATATACCATTTTGAACTTTTTATTCAGCTGTCTATATTATTTAAGGGTGCTACAGGACCTCCAGGACCAAAAGGAAGTACTGGAGAAAAAGGTCAAAAAGGCGATAAAGCCCCGGAAATAGACGTATCAAAGGTAATTGCATTGTTTTTTTTATTATAGCTAAGACTGTTACTCGGCAAAAGTATTCAAAAGCTGCGCCATACTTCAGCAAAAATCCTGAACTGGTTATAAAAGTTGAAACAAGTTTGCAGTCAATACTGCAACCAGAATCGCAGCTCATTCTACGAATACCGAGCTGGCGGAGTCGTCGAAGTGAATCGATGACTCTATGTCAGCTGTCTCGGGACGACAGTCTATGAGGTTAAGGCAGTGCCGCTGGTGTTCCGGAATACCTCGCTTAACCTGAACCAGCCTGCCTGATCAGAACGCGATACACCGCTAACCAGTCGCTCTTTAATGATTATTGTTCATCCAGTGCACCGCGCTAAAGTCCTTGTAGTGCTGGTACCGAAAACATTCATAGCTCTATCTGGAAATAAAAATAATAACGTGTGTTACTCTAAGAGCTTCAAATTCCAGCTGAAAGGTGAAAAGGGGGATCGAGGGCTAGAAGGTAGTCCCGGTAAGCCTGGCCCTATAGGACCAGTTGGTCCTCCAGGAATTTGTGAGAAATTAAGTCCTCAACCACCCATCCCTGGACCTCCTGGACCCCCAGGGCCTCCAGGATCACCTGGGAGAGACGGTGAAGCAGGTCAACCAGGAGCATCCATAATCGGTCCGAAAGGTGAACCAGGATTTACGATGACATCGAATAATATTGATGAAACAGGTATTTAAAACACCTATACGATTTAATTTGATCTGTTCATAGTTTTCTTGGAAATACCACAATTGGTAAATTTGTTCATTTCTAGTTGATTTCGATAGCAACGACGATGAAGCCTTCTTTAAATCATACACAATTATTTTCAAGACGTACAAGGGTCTGTTGAAGGTAAACTATTTGGCAAATTTATTAGAATTTACTAATAAAACCCAACAATGCTCCACTAAGAAAATTGATAATTCTAATCATCTATACACTCTATACATTCTATACACTCATCTGTTTAAACTACATATACTCTGAATGTCAGACTTTAATGGATTGAATCCTTTCTTGAATTGCTAAAACGCTGTGGTACCCAGTTTCATCACTTAAACAACATTTTTACATTTACAATTTTATATCTGATAGATATAAATGGCAATGAATTTCCTACGTTCTCGCTCAAGCATCCGACCTAAGGGGTCATAACCCATAGATATCATATAACCAATAAGATAACCAATAGTACACTTTTTGGAACGAAGTTCCTTATGGGACGATGCGGAGGGGTATCCTAGCCGGGAAAAAACGTCCGTAACGTAAGCTTTTATTATTTATGTATAGTCTTAGTATGATGGCTATATAGTGTGTAATGTATAGTCTACGTGATGACGGTTATTATTATTATTCATATAAATAGCTGTTTCTTTGTATATTATTATTATATATTTTTGATAAATCATTGTGAATAAAATAAAGTTGATAAAGTAGCTTTTTATATCAATAAAAAAATCATAATAAAAAATGTATACCCGAATAATTATTTTCTTTATACTTCGAATAGAATTTAAAATTGTTAATAAGAAACTTCGTTCCTATCCGGAGTCCCACGACACCACACATCTTTTTTTTTAATTAAATAGGAAAATATTTTTAAAAAGAGCTTTTTAAAATTTGATATTCTCTAATTTGCCTCAGAGAACGTCGAAAACGCCCGTGGGAACTCTCGCTTACGTTCTGGATGAAAAAATTTTGTTGTTGAGAGTGGAATATGGATGGCAGAATGTTAATGTGAGTATACAAGTTACTATTCTTTCTGTACTTTAGCTGCCCATTGAGTCGCGTTTCCGTTCCGGTGGTAGATTCTGCGAAGCACTGCTCTCGCTAGAGCTAATGTTAGCAATTCTCTCAGGTTGAACCCATGATCTTGTAGTTGGATATATCTATCTTCAATCTATATATATAAAAATGAATTGCTGCTCGTTAGTCTCGTTAAAGCTCGAGAACGGCTGGACCGATTTCGCTAATTTTGGTCTTGAATTATTTATGAAGGTCCAGAGAACGTTTAATAGGTAGATAAATATGAAAATGCTTGGAATTAAATAAAAATAACAATTTTGTTTTTCCTTTGATGTGTCCCCCGTCGGAGGGATTTTATTTGTTTGTTTTAAGTTTATTTTATAAATAAGTTTAGGTCTTTTATTTATCGATTGAGGTACTACATAGTCTGCCGGGTCAGCTAGTTCTTGATATTTTTTGTAGAATATTTTCACAGTATGAATTTAGTATCCAATTTTAATTTTCTTTAGATTGGATCGATGTACCAACCTTCGAGAAGCGCACCTAGACTTGTACCATACAATCAACCGTCAAAGTCACCTAACGACAAAAGATATGTGAGTATGTGGTTTGTTATTTAAGTCTCTTATTAGCGAGAAATTTGCACTCAAATTAAACAAGTCTTTTTTTTTTATTGCTTAGATGGGTGGACGAGCTCACAGCCCACCTGGTGTTAAGTGGTTTCTGGAGCCCATAGACATCTACAACGTAAATGCGCCACCCACCTTGAGATATAAGTTGTAAGGGTCTCAGTATAGTTACAGCGGCTGCCCCACCCTTCAAACCGAAACGTATTACTGCTTCACGGCAGAAATAGGCAGGGTGATGGTACCCACCCGTGCGGACTCAGAAGAGGTCCTACCACCAGTAATAGAATAGTCAAACACACTTTTGTAGTTGTACAGTATTATAATTTTAACAGCAAACTTAGAAAACGATGCTACACACTACACGATACTAATTATTTAATATATTAATATTATTACGAATAGACTATTTTTATGTTAAACTTAATCGGCGCGCGAATCTTGTCGACTGACGTCAGTAAACAGCTGCGCGTTCGGGAATTCCGATCGCGCCCGATGACACCCGAATGCGATTTTTTTTAAGGGATTTTATGACCTGGTAACTAAGACCTTTAGGTTATGTCTTATTTTAATTTATATTCTTATTTTATTGAAAAATGTTAATATGGAGTGAATGAAATGATATAGGATGAAATATAATCTCAGTAAAATGATGGTCGTTTACTGAGACTTTTTCAGTGGACTTTTTAGAGGATCTTGAGAAGCAACGTTCACCGGTTTTGTTTCATTTTCCCTTATTTGTGCACTTTCACACAGATACTAAACAGTTAATAAACTACCGTTATTACACATTTAAACCTGAAGAAACACTAAATAGACAAAATAAAACAAATTACACAACTTCACTCCTCGCGTTCCCGCCAACAAGTCCGCCCGAATGCGATTTCATGTTCCAGTGTTGCACGCTACAAATATGACTCGGTTTTTCGCGTCATATTGTTTTTGTTAATCGTGAAAGTGATTAAAAGCAGATTGATAAAAAGAGTCTCACATGTTTATAAGTCGCTTTGATTCACAGATACGCTTGGCAGCCCTGAACGAACCTTACTCTGGTAGAATGGAGACCCACTTAAATAGGGTTGGCTACAGCGCGATCAACTACGAGTGCCACAGACAGTCCATGCGCGACTATAACGGAACATTCGTTGCTGTGCTCTCAAACAGGTTTGGCGCTTTATCTTAAACCGCAATTTAGGGATTGAAATTAAAATTGGCAACCCTACTTCACAAGACATTGTATGTTCTTGAAGATTTTATGGATGGATGTATGCGGCTGAGTCCTTCCGGGAGTAGCTTCGCACTCGCGTGTGTTAAACACAATACCGATATAACTCTTCGACTGATCGTGATCTTTTGCTACTTATGGATACATTACAATATGTTACGGATAACGTAGTAAATTTGTCTTAGATATTGTTAATGATTTTACAAACATTGTGGCCGATAGTTTGTGACAAGACTAATAATATATAATACTAGCTGTACCCGTCCGCTTCGCTGGGCATTTAAAATTAATATTATTATTTCTCACCCCCACAAAGATTCTCATCATTAACGCCCCCGCAATTGGTGTAGGGATTTCAACACTCATATAAATATTTTCTACATGGATACCAAGTTTCAAGTCAATCGGATGCATGGTTCAGTAGTTATAACGGAACATCCGTAAAAACCATAATGTTAGTATAGATATCATTAGTGATAATATTTGATTTCCAAATATTTAGTAAATTACAGATATTCAAGTCAAACACTCGTATTCCGAAATAGAGATACATCTCTATTTCGGAATACACAGACGAATACAAAATATTGTCTCTGTTGTTAACGCGTTGACTGCCCCGTAGGTCACCGGTGACCTGAATGGGCGCACTGAAGTAATTATGTCGATTTCTCTCTTCGATCTTTTTACCAAGGCGCCAGAATATCTAGTAGACTCTGGGAAAGACGAATCCATGCTGATATGGTCTCTTTAGACCATCAGCTTAGGTAGGGAAAAAAAAGCGAGTCCGAAGGTACTGAAAATTAATCTATTTCTAAAAGACCTTAAAAATTAAAACATACATTAACAAACAAAATAAGGCAAAGTAAGTCAATCCAAACGTTTAGTAACAGAAATCGACATAATTATTACTTCAAAGCGCCGCGTAGGACACCGGAAACATCTCCCGATAATTTTTGTATTTCTTTATAGATTCCAAAAACTCAAAAAGTTATGATAGAAAGAGGAAAGAAAATAATGTTATAGAATATATTTCGCGGAAAAGTAAACAAACAGCCTTAGATAAGTTTTCGGAAGCTTTTTTTTGGAAAAAAATATCCATAAATAGTCCTTTCACCACTTCTTATTTCTATGTAAAACTCAGATTCGACACGGTTCCTTGTTTACACAGAATGAAAATTGAGATTATCTAAAATAAGACCCAATATAATATGCGTAATATATTCTACTAGTGACCCGCCCTCGCTTCGCTTCGGAAACATTAAATTTTATTATTATAGCAGAGTCCCGCGATGTTACCTGCGTTTATTTTAGTACCGTGGGTGACGCCACGGGGCGAAGCTCGTCTAAAAAAAGTAGCCTATGTTACTCTTTAGATCACCAGTGAAAGTCTCATCAAAATTGGTCCAGCCGTTCCAGAGATTAGCCCGAACAAACAGACAGACAAAAATAAAAAATAATGTTATTTTGGTGTATGTACCGTATATATTATTATATTCACGTAGTATATTCACGTATATGCACGTAGTAAAAAGCGGTTATTTCAATATTACAAACAGACACTCCAATTTTATTTATATGTATAGATAATAAGAATAGGCCTGACATTTTCAATGCATTACAATTCCAATGAACATCGCTTTGTTTTTCAGGGTAACAGACCTAATTTCATTAGTAAAGCCGTCAGAACGTAACATTCCTGTTACAAATTTAAAGGGGGAAATCCTTTACCCTTCGTGGAGTAGCATATTTGATGGAGCCAGATCAATGCACGGGCAGTCTAAGGCTAATATCTATAGTTTCGACAACAGAAACGTCTATGTGGATCAACAATGGTGAGCTGTTCAATGTTTTGTTACTATAAAAACTGAGACCATAGACACTCATGTCCCGAAATGAGTAGCGGCATTTAAATTATAGTTGTCTATGGGCTCTGGTAATCACTTAGCACCAGGTAGGCCGGGAGATCGTCCACCCATCTAAGCAAAAAAAATATGAGAAGTAGTCAATGAGCCACCGACTTCTTGATTCGTAGGGTCTGAAGCGGTTATTAGATACTATAGATACGTGTGTATAACACCAGTTAAGGACACCAGTTTCGCAATAACCAATGCTATATACCTACCCAATAACGCAATTTTGTTTCTCATGAAAACAGAGCTTTGACAAAAAAGCTCAAGAGCTATTTCACTCAAGGGACTTTTTTACATAAATATCAAGCTTTATCGTATTCAATCCAATGTCTGGTTACTAAACTGTATACTTGATATTTCTATTAACCAAACATTCAATGAATGTACCAAAATTCGATATCGATGATTTCCAGTGACTTTGATACCTGAATAACTAACATAGTAACAAACAAGTTTACAGGAGTTAATTTTACTATAATCTTGGTTTATTTTTCAGGCCTAAGAAAATGGTGTGGATAGGAGCTGATACTCTAGGCAATCGATCAACTAAAGCATACTGTGACGAGTGGAGCTCAGATAGCCAACAGATGTTTGGCACCGCATCTCCTCTAGACAAACTTTTAGAACAAAGACTGTAAGTAACCTAAAACTAACTACAAATAAATCATTCTAAAGTTTAAGGTTCTTAATTTTCCCAATACAGCACCAAATCCTAGCTTAAGCAATCGTAGTCATAATTTAATTGTACTGAGATAAATCAAGGTTTATTCAAGATTGAAACATCAATATTTCTTTTATTAAAACGAGGTGTGTGATAAACGAACACAAAGACGCTATCTAACTATCTTTGTTGCACTTTTGGTGTTCAGTTAAGTAGAATTAAGTTCATTATGCAGCGTCTTTCAGCGCTCGTCCATGGGCGCATACTATCATTTTTTGGTCATGTCTCCTGGCGAGGAAATGACTCCATAGAGCGCCTTGTCGTTCAGAACAAAATAGAAGGCACCAAACCACGTGGAAGGTTGTCTATGCGATGGACCAACCAAGTCAAATCGGCAGTCAGCGGTTGTTTTCATGAGTGTACCAGACTCACCACAAACCGGGAGCAGAGGCGATTGCTCGTGAGGCATATAGCATCTGACAACAGCAATGATGCTGGATGACGACCACGACCGCTCTGACAAGAGTGATATGACAAAGGAAAGGTGTTCAGTTACGACATAGACGATATGTCTAAGTGTCATATGTCAAATTGACATCTGTCATCTGAATACTGCGATGCAGCCCGCAATGCACGATGTACAAATGTCAAACGCGTCATGATGTAGTAATATTTACTGTTCGTATAATACATTACTGTTCGAGCCAAAGATCGTTTGCTCGACTGCTTTCTAACAGACAAAACTACTGAAAGCTAATTTCCTCTCCCCGTATTAAGATCTTTCCCAAGCTACACAAAGATGTGTAGAGATTACAGTATCAATAGGAATCGTTGCAGAAGTTGATGATTAATAGTTATGGTGGTAATTCAAAACACGATAGCACTAAAAATCAGTATTAAAAAGTATTTTGCTATCCACGCAATGTAATAAAAATTTGCTGATAAACTGGGTTGTGATTCATGCAACACGAATCGACACGAAATTTAAACGGTAGGCAGCGGCTTGGCTCTGCCCCTGGCATTGCTGAAGTCCATGGGCGACGGTAACCACTCACCATCAGGTGGGCCGTATGCTCGTCTCCCTACAAGGGCAATAAAAAAAATTAAATAAAACGAGCAGCTGGGTTTGGTGTACATTGCGGGCTTTCAAAATATGAACTCAAAATTAGTGTTTATATTTAAGTGAAAACTACCATTGAGCAATTATTTGGTTTTGAAAAGTTTTGCACAATTTGTTTAAATAATAATACGCGTAATACTTAGTGAATGATTAAAATTGATGTTAGTTTCCGCTAGATTTTATTCAGGTTTTGGCTTTAGGAATGTTTTTGATGCATGTATATTTTAAATTAATTTCAGATTGAGCTGTGATAATAAACTTATAGTCCTTTGCGTCGAATTATCGTCGCAAGCATCGAGACACAATCAGTAAGTTGATAACGTCGCGATCGTTGAATTAACACAATCACTTTGTAGTTGAATTGCTGTAGTAATCGCATTTGCAGCGGTGATGGCTTGGTAGTTAGAACATAATTTTAACATATTAATGAAAAGTAGAATGCGATATAATAATATCGATTTTTCGATTCCAAAGAGTAACAATTGTAAATATCGAGTAGTAAACGATTTATGGAAGTTTTACGTGTGTATTGTTCAATTAATATGTAGCGTTATTTAATTATATATATTACTTAGGATAGTACATTATCCAGTAAATCAAATCTTAAATTAACTTTGATGTTTAATTTCTTAAATGTTTTATTTTATTTTATATTATTCTATGTTTTCTTGGTTTTTGTATGATAAACGTTATAATACGTAATCTTAAAAACGACTTACGCATCTTACTTTTACTGGATTTCAGACTGGTTACTCTTTGGAACTGTGATATTTATTATATTTTATAGCATGAATAAAGCACGAAGTTGTGACGTTTTAAAACTAAAAGCATTCATAACAGAAGAACTTATGCTTGATACGTTTGTATTCATTTTTATTTAGCGGATAAGCTTAAAGAAAAATGTTAACTATGTAATTGTTTTTGAGTTGATTTACGAATGTTTGGTATTTGTAAATATCTATTTTTTTACTAGAGAAGTACATTAAGTACATTAGTTACATTAGATCGTGACAATATTTATTTAAAAAAATAAATATGATAGATTGGCTCATTTTATTAACAACATACAATATACATGTGAATACAAAATATGAATTAATTAAGAGAAAGCAATGATGAAGGAAAAATCAATACAGTTTTTCTTTTCTTCAAAGTATTTTGTATGAATATTTGATTGAAAGACGTGGTTTAGTGATATATTTAAATTGTCAGTAATCATTTGGAATTAACACTTACCAAATTTAGCTTGTTATTTTTTAAATTACTTAAAAGACTATAAATTATTGCGCCTTTAATTTACATTTCATATTATTTATTATATGATCAAAAAAAAGTTTAATTAATTACATAAGCCAAGGCCACGTAAAACATTAACGGTGCACGAAAATAGTAAAAACACTTACGACTTAGGTTAGAATTCTATTTTAACATAACTTGCATGATTCATTGCCATTTACTAAAAACATTATATTATATAATAAATACACTTTCACGGTTCAAACACGAAAATGTCAAATTTGACAGCTGTCAAAGATTTATATATACAAGTACTAGCTGTCGATAATTCATATCTTTCTCTTAATCGAAAGTTATCAAAGCATCATCGTCAAAGGAGTAAAATAGCAATCGAGGAATTTAAGTCGCCATTAACGCTATATAAAAAAAATTTTTGGCCACATCGCGATTATCCCCATAAACTCTACGACATGAGGTAAAAACTTTTAATCTATTGTAGTAACGCTTATTAAATATCCAATATGCCCTCAAACCAGAATGTACAAGATTTTGGCTGTAAAAGGTATACAATACTAATTCCTACCTGTAGTAGGTTCTCAATACTATTATAATTGTTACACAAATATATAAGAATTTCTGCTGTATTGTTGAAAAAGTAATATTAATCCATAATCGTAGAAGTCGTCTATGGTAACGTGTTCGGTGCAAATCTACTTCGAGCAAAATTGAAATTCTACCCGGTTCACGATTTTTCTGGGGCTTAACTCATAGACCCATTAGTCGAGCACAAGGCATCTTACGCGTTAGGCCACGGCTCTTCAAAACTGCCAAGTACTGGTACAGATAAAATAATCTCAATGATAACTAGTAGTGCTGGCCGGTAACTTCACAGACAGGCTCGGCAAAGACGTCCATAAAAAGGAGCATGAGTTTTCAAAAAAAACTCTCCTCGTAGTTCCACGAAGTGTTGCCGTGTATTTGACATATAATCTACATTCACAGATACAAATTAAGTTTAAACCGTTAAAGTGATTCAATAATTAAACAATCGATGCTTTGACGCACAAATAACAGAGCTACGGTATGATGAAAGCTAACACAGGTTTGACAACTAATACAAAAATTAACGCCGTGTAAAGAATTCATAACATACTCTTGAAAATTTAAAATTTTCAGTAAGAAACGTTGGCCCAAGAAACGTGTTACGTACGATAAACGAATCCGAAAACCGTTTGCTGTTACATAGTAAAAAGTTTTTAGTTCACAGACTTCAACTTCTTGAGTAATACTCGTAATGTAACATGTGAGATTGATGTGCGCCATAGTATAAATATAACTTGAAATATGTGTGGTGTTTAAAACTTTGTGTAAATGAAAGTTCAACATTTATTTCTGGGAATTGTTTGTGTCACCTTATCACGCAACGCGGGACTCTCGTATCCGCCTTTCGTGTATTTGAAACAAAATGGACGGCTGTCAATCTGACAGATGGATGTGTCAAACGAATGTGTCAGTGTGATAATGAGCATCCATTACAGTTATTGCCTAATTATAATACGGGTTTTATCAATTGATTTAGCACCTTTAGAATTGAAGTGACTTAGCTAAAAATTCGAAAAACCTATGAAAATGTATTCTGAGCTTATAAAAATTAAACAATCTCTTTTAGTCCAGAAAAGGACAAATGTACTCTTTCCGTCTCTTTTAAATCAAGCGCTTGCCCTATAGTATCGTAATTGAAAAACTAAAAAGTGACAATTCTTTAATTAAATTTTTGGCGGTTATAAAAAAAAAAGAACTTTAAATTAAGCCATTTCAATTCTAAAGGTGCGAATTATGTATTAAAGTTAAATAAATCTATGTCTGTATTATACACTGCATTTCTAGTAAATTTTCAATTGTACTCTTTTTGGAAAATAACGAATAATGTATTTTTAAATTATTATAATTAAGAACAGTTAGTTACGATTCTTATCTTTTAAATAAATTAAGTTTTTTATTGTATTCAAATTTCCATACTTTTGGTATTATATAAATTATTATTTTATTATTAAAATTAATTAGGTTATAGTATGGCATATATTATAGTATGGCATCGTAAATTGTTTTTAGTTTTCGTTTCAAGTTTATATTTCAATTTCAATTATGTCCTGTCAAATTAGTAAAGTGAATCAACAGTTTTGACAGACCTATACAGAAATAAACATGATTTTGTTTATTATAGAGGAGAATAATGGTGTTTTTTTTTTTTTTTTTTTTTTCTTAGATGGATGGACGACCTCACAGCCCACCTGGTGTTAAGTGGTTACTGGAGCCCATAGACATCTACAACTACTACTACGTAAATGCGCCACCCACCTCGAGATATAAGTTCTAAGGTCTCAGTATAGTTACAACGGCTACCCCACCCTTCGAACCGAAACGCATTACTGCTTCACGGCGGAAATAGGCGGGGTGATGGTACCTACCCGTGCGGACTCACAAGAGGTCCTACCACCAATGAAGAAGTTATTGTAAGATATTTCAAAATATGTTCCAAGCTTTTGTTTGTATTTCTGGCGACTCACGGTATAACCGAGTACTTTCACGGGACGATCACACTATCAAACTGAAATAAAGCGGGAACCTTAGCCTAATTTTATACATTTTATTGACGTGTGAATCCATGGCTTATCTTGTAATAAGTGATTACCAGAGAACACGTGATAAATGGCCGTATCCACGTTTAGATATGTTGCCCAATTACTGAATGACTTGATGGTGCGATAGTTAGCGACTCTGACTGTCACACCGAGGCTCGTGGGATCGATTCCCACATCGAGCAAACATTTTGCGATAAACAAATTTATTTATGGATATGTTTAAGCATATCTAAGTATGTTTATCAGTCTCTCGAAGGCATAGCCCAGGGAATCCTGAATTGGAGCAGGATCACCGTGCGTGATTTGTTCCCAGTTATTATTATTATTAATTACATACTTATACAACCTATGTGCCTATTATTCTTTTTTTTATTGCATTATATGGGTGGACGAGCTCACAGCCCACTTGGTGTTAAATAGTTACTGGAGCCCATAAACATCTACAACTTAAATGCACCACCCACTTTGAAATATAAGTTCTAAGGTCTCAGTATAGTTACAACGGCTGCTCCACCCTTCAAACCGAAACGCATTACTGCTTCACGGCAGAAATAGGCAGGGTGGTGGTACCTACCCGTGCGGACATTCATACATGAGAAGCCATGTTTACTTTACCGGCGGCAAAAATATACTCTGCCGTGACTGAGTTTGAGGAACTTAGGACTTTATAACTGTAAGCAATCATTAATGTTACTTTATAGCATAATAATATATGTAGACATTTTGTTTATTCATCACTTACTCTTGATACTGTGTAATATATGTATTAAATTATCCTTTATATTAAATAGTCTACAAATCATTTACATAGCCGTACAAGTGGACAACGCCATAAGAGTTATTAAAATAGTATAGTTACTTTTACGTTAACTTATTGTTATAATTAAATGAGTCGACTATTATCAAAGCCGGCAATGTGACTTTTGGACAATTATTGGTAAATCAGAAAAACGAATTATTGACTTTGTCTTCCATTGGCAGTCACAAAACTCTTCTGAACGACATTTTAGATAAATAACAGGTTAAGTATTAACCTTTATTTAATGCAGGTTTTGAACCGTATTCTTTGAAGGAGACGATTATATTCAAATCAATCTGTATTGACATATCAATAACATTTTTTTGTCCAAATGCACAGATTGCCACCTTTGATAATAGACGACTCAAATGTTAAGTCATTAAAGAAACAAGTGCCATAACGATTTTGTACTTTATAAAACATTATGACAATAAAATAAACTGTTCAATGCTGCTTGGTTTTTATTTTGCATCCAATGGTATAAGTACCCGTGTATTTAGTAGTTTTAATGGAAAATGGTTCGCATAACACCAGGAATGCGGAAACAGAGAGAAAGAGAGAGAGAGAGATGAGAGAATACACTTTATTGTTCAGCAAAACACAATTTACATTCAATAACAGTCAAAAATCAGATAGATTTGTACAATAGTCGGTCTTATCGCTAAAAGTGATCTCTTCCAAACAACTGTTTAATTTAGAGATATTCTTACTTACTTACTTCCTATTTAGAGATATACATACTTACAAACATATAATAAATCAACAGTATGGAAATGATAAATAATAATGATACAAACAAACAACACTAAGCAGATAAGTAATGTTCCTTCACCATTCTTTTAAAGCAGTTTAAAGTTGAAGCACTCCTCACTGCATCCGGCAGAGCATTCCACAATCGAACCGCCTGGACGGTGAATGCCTTATCAAAGAATGAATGAAATATTCAAAAAAAAATTGTTGTTTTTCTACATTGTAATGCAATTGAGATTATATTATGATACTAGAGATATAGAAAAAAACATCCGATAGCTAAGATGGGTAAGGTAGACTCACGGCACACGGTAAAGTACTTGCCAGAGCTCATAGACATCACCACATGTATCTACAGATACTGCCTCGGTTCTTTATATTTATTTTAATTTTATTCCTACCTATTCCACTAACCTCGAGGGGTTATTCTAGATTCACCGAGCTAGTACGTGAGCTCACGGGGCTCAAACCCGGAGTGTTGCTAACACTGGCCCTAGCAAGAGCAGTGCTTCGCAGAGTCTACCACCAAATCGGAAACTCGACCCCCTGGCTGGTGATCTGTGGTTATCAGAGCCCATAGACATGAGCAACGTAAATGCAGCCACTCACTTTGAGGTATAAGTTCTAAGTCCCAGTTTTACAGTACAACGGCTGCCCAACCCTTCAAACCGAAACGCATTTCTGCTTCACGTCAAAAATTGCCAATTGCATCATGTCCTATTACGTCTAGCAAAAACATATATGAAAGGTTTTTTATTAAAAAAAAATATATTCACGCTCCTAACAAAATCAATTCAAATTTAAAAAAAAACTAAATTTGAATCCAAATTAGCGTTTCGCACGAACGAAGCACCCATAACAATGATCCTAATCCGAAATTAGGTCTCAAATCTCGTTTCCATTTCCACATTCACGCCGTAGCGTTTCTCGGGGAGCGCCGCAGAGCTCATTTGCAATAAGAACGGTCGCAATGAGGAGCGTAATGCGACTTGGACGGGGCTTTAGACGGTTTCCAATATACTACGATGAATGTTGTTTAAAAGTTTGGCATTCTTGTGTCGTTTCGTGTCTGAAGGTGATGTGTCGTGTTTATTGATGGCAGCCTTGTGAGCCCGCCGGGGTGAATATCACTAACAACAGCCGTGATAGTAAGCAATTGAAACATAGACCTCATGTCTTTAGGTGGGTGGCGGCTTTTACCTGTCTATGCATTAAAAAAATGTCTACGGGCAGTAACCGCGGAATAGCAGTTGGCGCCAGAGTTCAGCCATTAGACATACAAAAATGCATGATCGTCAGTTTTATTAAAATACAAGCGGCCCGCTCCGGCTCCGCTCGGGTCTTTAACAAAAATTTCAACGATATTTGACGTTGTTTTTTTTTTAATAAACGAACACTTATTGCGACATAACTATAATAGTTAGACAAATGTTGTCGCGAAACTTTTGGTAAATAATAATGTGTTCTACAAAACCGTAGTACATTATTTTATTCTATCATCAATAGTTTTCGCAGGACACGCGATGTAAAGGATATTTTAGGTATTTTTTTTACACCTTGGGTTACATTATTGGAGTTTTAGTAAGGATGCCTAATTTTTTTCAAAAAAGATTACCAATGTCACTCAGGAATAGTGTAGCTTCCAAACAGTGAAAGAATTTCCAAATCGGTTCAATAGTTTCGAAGCCTATTCAATACAAACAAACAAACAAATATTTACTCTTTATAATATTAGTATAGACTAACTAATGCTACAGACGTTGGTTTTATGAAGTACTTCTTGACGTGGCGCGTCAATGCTTCATTTCCGTCCGAGAACAAAGATACAACGCGAACAATCACAGACGAATTGCATTCAAAGGTAGATTGCAATAAGAGGGCGCATCTATGAGCGCTGCCTCTGAATATTTGCAAGCTTATTTGAACTAGACTTTTTAAATTGTCTTGGTTTGTTCACAATTCGTGAAAGTCTTTGATGCGCTCCGATTGGTTGACGGTATTTCGGTCAACAAATTTTATCGTACTATAAGCGGAGTAGCGTTTTAAACGATCAATGCTTATAAATTGCGTAATTACTGGAGGTGGCACTATCAAAATAGCTATTTTTTTATTGCTTAGATGGATGGACGAGCTCACAGCCCGCCTGATGTTAAGTGGTTACTGGAGCCCATAGATATCTACAACGTAAATGCGCCACCCACCTTGAGATATAAGTTCTAAGATCTCAGTATAGTTAAAACGGCAACCCTACCCTTCAGACCGAAACGCATTACTGCTTCCACGGTAGAAATCGGCAGGCTGGTGGTACCTACCTGTGCGGACTCACAAGAGGTCAGCTTAGACAAGAAAGATGGATACTTCGAAAGTTCGAGTGATTTTTTAATACGAGCTCCGACGTGAAACTAACGCTGCAGAAGCAGCTCGCAATATCAATGTTGCGTTTGAGAGGGGACTGCTGATGAACGCACCGTGCGATTTTGATTTAAACGGCTTCGTGATGGAAATTTTGATTTGAAGAACGAAGCACGTAGAAG